CTCCAGACAGCCCAACTCTCCCGGGTGCTCCGGGAGTCTCCCGCTCCCGGCCGCCCAGGAGAGAATCACTGATTTTCTTTTTTTCTTTTTTATTCTGACACGGAGCCGTTGGCTGTTGTCAGAATAAAAAAAAAAAATCACCATAGGAATGCATTGCTAGATTCCTATTGGCTATTTCAATTTGCAATAGCAAACTAGCTATTGCACCCGCCCACTGCTGCTGTCAATCAGCAGAGGGGACCTGCGGTTCTCCATAAGACATGCAGTTCTGCAGTTCTCCACTAGTGATTGACAGCAGCAGAGGGCGGGGGCAATAGCTAGTTTGCTATTGGCTATTGCAAATTGAAATAGCCAATAGGAATCTAGCAATGCATTCCTATGGTGAAAATGTTTTGTTTTTTTTGACGGCAGCAGAACCGCAGGTCAATAGAAAACAGTTGGGCAGAGCTAACTGTCACTGCTAGCTCCGCACAATCATTTTCTATTTATTTTTTTGTACTTTTTAAACTATTTTTCTGTTCTGCTCGGTCCCACAGAGGGGCCGAGCAGAACAGCCGAGCAGAATGCAGCTCAGCGGCATTCGGCTATTCACTTACTGCTGTTTGGCATCTCTAAGAATAGACCAAACAGCAGCGAGTAGCCTGCCGGAGGTTTGGCTTTAGCCGATCCAGATGTTGGATCGGCTGAGTCGAACTCCTTCTGCACTTCGGGTCGGCCGAACATGCTGAGCATGTTTGGCCGACCCGAAGGCACGCAAAGCCACCCGACGTACGGCTGATTTCAGCCAATATACGGCTGAAATCAGCCTTACCAGCCTGAAGTTAATAGCCAAGCAGCGTTCGGTTCACTTCGCTTCAGGTCGGCCGTTCACTCGGCTGACTACGGCAGCTTAGTGAATAGACCCCATAATGTTTGTTTTGAAAGAACCAATGATACTGAAATACAAATTGACTTATTTCGAGGAGCTATGAATAACATTAATAGAAGTTATTTTTAATGGTTTTTGGAGCTTCTTGATAATTCTCTTTCACAATTCAGGTCATGAATAGGACAATATCCAAAAGGCAAACAGGGTTATTCTCTAAAGGGTGAAGAGTTAGGAGAAGGCAGGAGAAGTGAACAGTCTAGGACAAAATATTTAGTATTAATATCTGTATATGGTTTTCTGTGGTATTTGCACCGATTATTCGTCAACTCATCCAAAATCAAAACCCGAACCGAATTGAATTTCGAAATTTATTAAAAATCCAGCAGTCTTTTCTCTTACTACAACATTGGAAATGATCAGGTGATCAGAGTAGAAAGAACTTCCTGCTTAGCATTCCTAGTTTTCTTACGGCTATGGCTAGTCCCAATATCTGCAGACTTAAAGAGGGTAAAAATGTGCTGAGATGTTTATGAAAATTCTTGCAGTGTATATTATTGACCAAAAAAATATTCTTTTTTGTTTTCTCAAAAAAATATTGGATCTCACTTTATAAAAAAAATATTATTTTTTATTTCATTTTTTTTTTTAAGTGGAAAAATAAATCATTTTTGGTTTTGGATTCGGCCTGACAAATTTTGAAATGTTTTGATTAAAAAAACTTAATTTCAGTGCCTCCCTAATTATAACCCTCCCTTAGTCTGTCCATAACTAAGAAAAAAGTTTTGGCTGCAGTTGTAATTTCAAGATCTACTCCAATGGAAAGAAAAAGTGAAGCATTGAGATGCATCTAGAGGGAAAAGTTTGACTGCTCAGTC